ATGCATTTGTGAACAGCATGACACACACAAACAAATGGCTTTATAAGTGCAGATTGCGCAGCACGCATTTGTGATCCTCATGACACACACACAGAAATCGCTTGTTACAGACAGAACGTTAAACACGCATTTGTAACATTTTTGATAGTTATACGTGAAGATTGCGCAGCACGCATTTGTGATCCTCATGACACACACACACACAAATCGCTTGTTACAGACAAAACGTTAAACACGCATTTATAATATTTTTGATAGTATTTTATCTCCATAGCCATCTCCGGCGCCAACAGAGTGACGCAGCGATGTGGTTTTTATTCTCCTGAAAATATACATTTTAAAGGTCTGTACCTGCTGAGCAGCAAGGGCAGCCTGCTTCTCGTAGATATCCAGGTTTATCTGCATGTGTTCCAAGGCAGCGGAGCGGGTCAGGGGAAAGTCTGGATTCGGGTTCAGGATTACGTGGTGCTCGTACACGGCGGCAACGTACGATGGATCCGCAACAGGCTCTGTCTGACCAGCAGCGGACATGATAAACACACTGAAGACAATCAAAATCATTGTTCCTTCACCTACAGACATCACAGCTCAGTGTCTTGTGAAAAAAATCACTCTACCCTTGAGTGAGAGTTGAAATAAAAAAGGCTTCAGACATTTACTGTTGCAGCAACAGGAGCATAACAGACACGTCTCATCTTCTGTAGCACAAAAACAAACAAGAACAAATATAAGAAGCTGGCAGACAGGATATCCAAGAGAGACTGTAGTCACTGGGTGTCTGCTGATGCTATACTGCGTGATGGTTAAATAGGTTTCACTTTTATTTACAGGACATCAGCCGCTTCGTTCTGGACAGAAATCTAATTCTGCAATTTCAGCAGTCACGTGATGGTTAAATAGGTTTCACTTTTATTTACAGGACATCAGCCGCTTCGTTCTGGACAGAAATCTAATTCTGCAATTCAGCGGTTTCAGCAGTCACTCTGTTTCCTGAGAGACATTGTCAGACATTTCACAAACATCTAAGGTAATGCAAGTAATAGCACAAACATAAAAATTTCCATTACATCTCCCTGCTTTTGATTATTCATTAATCATTAGTGTAAAGTAAACACTACAAACATCAAATGTGTAAATTCACAGGATTAACTACACATCATCATAAAGTATGTTGTAGAAAAATGTGCAGAGCTGCATTTTGCTAGTGTTGGGTATTTTTAGTCAGACATTGGTTAGACACTTCATGTATTAGAAATGTTTAGTGTAGACAGAATGTTTATTATTATGAGGTGTTTAATCATAATCGTAATCACAATATTTTCTTATGCTTAGTGTCATGACATGTCACTAGATGTCCTGTCAGGTCAGCTGCAAAGTACACCACACAATCAACAGACAATCACACATTGATTTTCTTCATGCTTTGACTACTGCTATGGTCAGCTGCACAGCTGGTACCGGGAGATGTCACGGTTTGACGTCCCTGAGTAGTATGGGGTTAGCCCAAAGTGATATAATGTATAGGCCTGTTATGGTTCGGGGGCTTTGTCCATCTTCCGGCTGCCTCCATGTTGGAGGTGCAAAGACTCCTGAGCATGTAATATTAATTTAACCTGTGATCACTGAATAAATCAGCACTGTTTTGAAGTTACTCGGGCTGCTTCAAGGGTGAAAGGGATTTGCCCTCAACTGTGATCACATGACCCAGAAATGTTACTTTGGATACAAACTGCAACTTGGCCCCAGTTTCAGCAAGCAATAAATCATAATAATTAACAAAAAAAATATGTTCAAACAATTATAACTAGGGAGCAGTTGAGGCCTGTCACCTCTGGACCCCTTTCCTCAAGATGCAAAATTTCCAGAATCAGTGTTTTCTATCAAATCACTTCCTTTTGGATAAGGTCATTTTATACCATTAGCATACTGTTTTGATTTACAATCTTTTCTGTTTTTGCTAACATTTTTCAAATTCTAATTTTAATTTCATTTTACAGCTTTTAGTAATATTAGTTCCTATGAATTAAAAAAAAAAATGAATGAGTTACTGTGTAATTGTTTGAAACTATTCAAAATGATCAGGACCACAACTGTTTACTTGCAATACTTTAATCCTATCCTGCTAAGCCACACATGATAAAATGTATGTTAAAATGAAATGTTGTGGGAAGAGAACAGCTACAACTGCCCTAAGGTTGTTATCAAGCAAACAACAAAAACAGGACAACTTCCCGTTTCCTCTTGTCTCCTGGACTGATAGTTTTGCACCAGTCCTGTGAAATGCTTTTCTTTACAGAGCTAATTCCCATCACCATTAATCTACCAAGATCTAGTAAAGCCAAAATCAAGGTCAGAACTTTGGAAGTCCATTTTATGTTCCTGTTACAGTGTATTGCAGGGGAGACAAGGAAAAAAACATCCTTAGAAACATTCAAGCCTCCAGCAGGTGCATCATTTTGAGTCGAGTACCACTGCATCTTCTCCTCCACTGGGTGTCAGCAGACATCAACAGCAACACCTGTCCTTTCTGAGATGAAATCTAAACAAAACCTAACTGATTACACAGTAATATATTGCCATCACAGGATGGATCAAAAACAATATTTTCATCTCCTTTAAAATAATTCCACATCACTTGTTTTGTTTGCCAGTCAATGCAGTAGGCAGTGCTGTAAGGTTCAGGAATGTAATGTCCCCACTGTGCCAAGGGCCCGACAACAAACAGGGATGTGTAACACCACACTCGGACCACCAAGAGGCGGGGGCATGTGACGAGAAGAGCTTGTTCGTCTGGTCTGTTCTTTTCAGATGTCTAGACTTGGTGTCACAGCCTGTGGTCTGCTGGAGTATGAAGTCCCTTTAGTGACTTGCTGAAGATGACATGAAATGAACAGAACCAGAGGAAATGAGGGATCATGCTGAACATCAATGCTGTCACTTTCCACTTGATAATATCAGTGGCATGGTTGGCAATGTTGGTCTGCTGGTTGATCCACCACTTTTGTCTACTTCTGGATGTACTCCCATGAAATTTTATACAGACATTTTTCTCCCTCAGGCATTAGCAGAAACCAAAAACAGCTCACTTAATTCACTCACACACACACACACACACACACACACACACACACACACACACAAAAAAAAAATGAATGAGTTACTGTGTAATTGTTTGAAACTATTCAAAATGATCAGGACCACAACTGTTTACTTGCAATACTTTAATCCTATCCTGCTAAGCCACACATGATAAAATGTATGTTAAAATGAAATGTTGTGGGAAGAGAACAGCTACAACTGCCCTAAGGTTGTTATCAAGCAAACAACAAAAACAGGACAACTTCCCGTTTCCTCTTGTCTCCTGGACTGATAGTTTTGCACCAGTCCTGTGAAATGCTTTTCTTTACAGAGCTAATTCCCATCACCATTAATCTACCAAGATCTAGTAAAGCCAAAATCAAGGTCAGAACTTTGGAAGTCCATTTTATGTTCCTGTTACAGTGTATTGCAGGGGAGACAAGGAAAAAAACATCCTTAGAAACATTCAAGCCTCCAGCAGGTGCATCATTTTGAGTCGAGTACCACTGCATCTTCTCCTCCACTGGGTGTCAGCAGACATCAACAGCAACAACTGTCCTTTCTGAGATGAAATCTAAACAAAACCTAACTGATTACACAGTAATATATTGCCATCACAGGATGGATCAAAAACAATATTTTCATCTCCTTTAAAATAATTCCACATCACTTGTTTTGTTTGCCAGTCAATGCAGTAGGCAGTGCTGTAAGGTTCAGGAATGTAATGTCCCCACTGTGCCAAGGGCCCGACAACAAACAGGGATGTGTAACACCACACTCGGACCACCAAGAGGCGGGGGCATGTGACGAGAAGAGCTTGTTCGTCTGGTCTGTTCTTTTCAGATGTCTAGACTTGGTGTCACAGCCTGTGGTCTGCTGGAGTATGAAGTCCCTTTAGTGACTTGCTGAAGATGACATGAAATGAACAGAACCAGAGGAAATGAGGGATCATGCTGAACATCAATGCTGTCACTTTCCACTTGATAATATCAGTGGCATGGTTGGCAATGTTGGTCTGCTGGTTGATCCACCACTTTTGTCTACTTCTGGATGTACTCCCATGAAATTTTATACAGACATTTTTCTCCCTCAGGCATTAGCAGAAACCAAAAACAGCTCACTTAATTCACTCACACACACACACACACACACACACACACACACACACGTAAAACCCGCTGTCTCTTTTATAAATGTGTGCTGTCTTCTATGTTCTGTCCTCTGTCCTGTAAACATGCTATTCTGTAGCAATAAAAACAAAATAAAGAAAGAAAAAGATTTGAATACAGAAACAATTTTAGTAATGACAGTAGACTAACTACTGTTATTGTCCAAATACTCGAGCACTGCACTGTAGATACTGTATCAGGGAGCACATAAAAATGCTTTTGCACCAGTTAGAGGTCAACATGCACCCGACAGCCACTTTATTGTGGCAAATGTTCACACAATAGTACTGATGCAGTTTAAAGAACAAATACAGTAGCTACATACCCCATCCACAGGACCCACAAGCAGTCTGAAGACAGCATCCACACCAGGGGTCTATTAGTCTGTTACCTTTTTATTAGTGTTATACTGATCTGAGCACTGCTGCCCACAAGGAGAGTTGGATTAGCATGATGCAAAAAAACAACCCTAAAGTCATTTTCAGTCACGTAAAATGATCATGACATTCTGACTGTTTTTTTTAGGTTAAAGAAAAATATGAAAATAGAATTAACAGTACATTTAGGCACACTTAACACATACTGCACACAAAAAAAAAATGAATGAGTTACTGTGTAATTGTTTGAAACTATTCAAAATGATCAGGACCACAACTGTTTACTTGCAATACTTTAATCCTATCCTGCTAAGCCACACATGATAAAATGTATGTTAAAATGAAATGTTGTGGACAGAGATGCACAGTTTTCATGATCTTACCAGATTCATATATACTGGGGTAAAAAAAAAAGAAAAAAAAAATAAGACAAGCCTTCCTGTATGGAGAGGTGTGCAGAAAGTTAAAGGTGTCATCTCCTCCTCCACCATGGGGACAAAATATTCACCTCCAGTAAGAGAGGCTCCAGTTCATGTCCTCCCACTCAGCCAAGCAGTGTCCACCAGGGTTGCTCAGTGCAAGCAAATCACAGCAGACAAGGGAGTTCCATCCACTGACAGCAGCAGAATTGGGCCAGCCAATGGGAGAGGCCCTCCCATAGTTGCTACTAAGTGCTCATTAGCAGTGATTCCATTGGTCACTGGACACAGCTGTACTGGACATGAGGGGATGGGGGGGGGGCTCCTGCTGCAAGTTCATAACAACAAGGATCTGTTCATACTCAACAGGACAGGTCTGAATGCATAAAATGCCACTCTGTTAAAACGAAGGAGTTGTTCGAGGCCACTTCTGAATGACCTATAGCCCAATGAACTTGTCATGGTCGTTGTCAGGTGGCGACAGAAAACGCCAGCCGATCGACACTCAGAACACCGATTCTCTATGTGTGGGCATGGAACAGGTGGGAAAAACATCTACTCACATTACCCAAAACAAAACAAAAAAGTCAGACTTATAAAACAAGTCTGTAAAATAAACGATGTTACAACAATGGAATGATAAGTTGTTGGGATAAGAAGAGATATCTGGGGATTCATGTTTTCCACTGGTAAAACAATGATTCTTTTTTTTTTGAATGATTCAAAATGCACATGCATTAATAAATAAATATTGCACAAAATCAGAGACATCGTCTGAATGAAAGTGATTTGGGATATACCTCTCTATCTTGATTTCCTTGCAACGTTCAGTCGTGTGAAGGAAAGTGACGTCTAGTGTGTGGCTCTTGGTCAGAACATACTGTATGTAGTTTTAAGGCTGGTTCACTAGCTCATACTGGCACAGTTTCTGACTGAAGAGGGCTGCATCTGCATGCTAAAGACAAGCATACACACAGACCCATTCACACAAAATTCTACACAAACGTGAGAGTACATTCACTGATAGAAGGCGTGGACAGCCAGAGCGGAGCCTCCCACAACTGTGACAAACAGTGAAGGTCAACACTGTATCCCAACATCAAACCAGGACGCACACAGCTATGAACAGTCTGAGATTTGGTCGTCACAGGTTATGACAGTAGCATTAAAGGGGATATAGCCTATTCTCGTGCATGGTACAGGTGATGTAACACTTTGGAAAGAAAAAGAGATCACATTTCAAGAGAAGCACTGAAAGAAAAATGCTGATGATAAAAATAAAACATTCTTTTCGACCCATATTTGTTCAGTCACATTTTAAAAACAGCGCCTCTTTGACCCAGTGCTACTGACATATTTGGTTGCTTTGAAAACACAATATTGTTGCATCTTTACAAGTGTGCAGCTTTCACATGTCTACAGCATGAGGGTGAGTTTGCCTACAGCTGAAGGGCCAGATTAGAGATGGCAGACTGGCCAAAAGACAGAAGCAGGAAGGTAAGGCAAAGTGTCTATGCTATGTTCTCCTGCAGTTTAAAAACAATACAGTATCTGTGGTCTGCTCTCTGGACCAGGAGAAAGAAGGACCGACTAGTCCAGGATAAAGCTAAACACAACTAAAACGTCTAAAAAAAAAAAAAAAAGAAGGGGAAGTGATACAATGTAAACGACTGCCATGTTCAGTCTTTGTGCAAATGACAGGATTTGTATTTGGGCTTGTGTGTGGTGTTCGTTCTTCAGTTCTGTCTTGACAGAAACATTCAACTGGAGTGTTTTCACCGATTGAAAAATCACACACAGCGCTCATGTCAAGGCTCCCCCCACCCATTAGCTCTCAAGTCTGTGTGTGTCTAGTTGGCCCGTGTCCTGTTGCCTCTGTCCTCTCCTGTCACCTCTTAAGAGAGGACGATTTGAGTTTCTGGCTGTATTTGTAGATGCGTGGCGAGTGGGAGTGCAGCTTGACAAAGAGCTCAGGGAATTTGTACTGGGGGAACATTGTCTCCAGGAAGCCCTCCAGGAAAACATAGACTAGCCGACGGTTCATGGGTTGGTACTGAAACATCTCGAAGACCCGCAGGATGCCCTTTCTGGTGGTCTCTGCTCCAATGATGTGCTTCAGCTCATCTGAGGCAAGAGGTGAAATATAATCAAGAAGACAGTGATATGCACAAAATCTTTTTTGCAGGGGCAAAAATAAAAAAGCTTTTTCATATGGGTTCATTTATGCACCAAGCTATCAACACAGTAGTAGGGCACCTATAGAGCTCAACTGTCCCCTTTGTTGTCGCATTAGGATAAATATCAATTAATTCTAACATATTTATAAGATATTATCTATGTAATGTCAACTAACTAGCTTCCTTGGTTAACGTTATGCAGCTAGATTTGTACGTGTTCGCTACATTAGCAACTTTTTCACATGTAAATCAGGCTGAATTCTGTTATGTCTATTGTTACCAGTCACCCCACCAACAAAGAGTTACAGCCAACTTCATGTAATCTTTGTGGAGGCTAACCGTATCGACAGCTGTAACTACCATCAGTTGACAGTACAGAGAATTTCCAGTCAGCTGTTTGATTAGCTTGGCAACGCTGACAATCACACAACAGCTCATCTAAACACTGACTGTAGATTGACAGGTCATTCCTGTCAGACTGTCTCCAGTACTTCCATAAAAAGTTTGGGAAAGTGGGTAAGAAGTCAGTCAGTCAGTCAGTCCTCATCCTTCAGCTCCTCTTTCCTGTAAAACTGAAAAATGCTGCTTGAAATCACTTCAAGGATGAGGAGTAAGTGTACGGGGCTGTCCCAAATGACAGTGGGTGATACCGAGAGGAAGTGCGTGCATGTGCATGTGTTTTCACCTGGCATAATGCCTAGCAGGCTGGTCTTGGCAGCTACTTGTGTCCTCATGCGGATGCTCTTGTCCCGAAGGGGCGGCGTCTCAGCCAGAATACCGTTGGGCCAGTACGAATCCCTGTGTGTGGACAAGCACCTCAGGGTTACTCACAACTCCTCTGACCAATCAGAGGTCCTTTGGGGAGGTGGGGTTTACCTGAACTTCTTGACGTAGTCTGCCACCTGCTCTGGTGAGGTCAAGTAGTCCACGTGATCCACAATTTTTCTACAGAGACAAGGGAAAGGTTTTTCTGGTTGTGCTCTAACTGAAGCCAATCATTGAATTCATTCAGATCTTCTGATGCTCTCAACACATGTACACTTGTGTTCAGTTTAAGTTAAAAATCTGCTCTGCAGGCTTTAATCCTATTTTGCTGATTATTCCGGTGAAACTAGTTCAGAAGTAAAGATACAGGATGCCCATTTTAGGTCATAAGATGTTTATATGAAATACTGTTTTGGTTGTAAACTGTATTTCTGTCTCTATGTCCTTTGTGCATCTCTGACCTGTTGATAGTGTCTCCATATGTGGCCCTGATGAGTTGCTGCAGCAGGTTCTTAATGTTCCTGCGCAGCCACTGGTTCTTCTCCTTAAGGTCAAACACCTCATCCATCAGCAGCAGCATCACCCTCAGTGGGATGTTATCATCCACCTGGACACACAAGACACACAGTTACCATTTTACCAAAAACAAATTAAAAGATACAACCCGCAACCAAACTTCCTAGTGACTCACATTGTCATCAAGCTGGGCGGAGACTCGGCAGTGTTCAGGGTCAATGTCAGACTTGGGGAGGAGTGGAGGCACCTAGGACAGCAGCAGAAAAACACTGGAAAGTCAGAAGTCTGATAAAATAACACATTAGTGCAGTGAGCAAATGTAGAAGGCTGTGGTTGAAGACATTAATTCAGATGCAGGATACTGGCAGTATTTGATTGCGTTACCTTCAATATGGACTGTTTGATGTCCTGGCCCAGTCTTTCCGACATGCGCCCCATGTTGTCAGAGACCTTGGTCATCCCTTCAGCCAGACTGTCTGGCAGGGCTTTCACTGCGTTGGACACGTTCCTCATGGAACTTCTCAGAGGATTTACAAATGTGTCTATCTGAAGGGGGAATGAAACCAAAGGAGAAAATATAATTTATAAAACCAGTTACAGTGCTCAGTTCTGAGTCAAAATACAGTCATGCCTGAAACAAATTAAGTGCTGAATTCAATGTTAAAGCTGAGATGTGCAACTTTTAACTACACTCCTCAAACTACAGATGATGGTGGCACTGAAATGTGGTTATGCAGCCAAATCACACAGAGAAACATCACTTCATCTGGAAGTCAACAAACAAAGTAAAATGGTAAAAATTCTCAATAGCATAGAAGGGAGGGCATCTCCAATAAAGCATTAGTTCTAATACTTTATTACACCCCAAAATAAAGATGCAACAACCAAAAAAAAACTTAGTTTAATTTATTTATTGAAGATCTCTACAGGACTACACTGATTAGTGTAAGCAAAAGGAATTTTCCTGAAGTATGGGAGCTCTGTGGCACCCAGTTATAATAAAAGTGTTAAAGGTGTACAATAGGTACAGAATCCTAAACCTAACTGGCCATTAAATATGTGCCAGCAATAGAGGTCTCCACTTAAACATTACCGGTACACAGCATTTTGCAGTTACATGGTAGTAAAGTAATGGCAATGAAATGCTCCATTGTGTTTAAAAACAAGTGACCTTTCGTGCAAACTCTCCCTTGCCCTTGTTGTAGGCCTTGTTTTCGAGGAAATCATAGATATAAGGAATCAGAGTAGGGCAGGCCGTCACCATCTCTGGGGTCAGCAGCAACTGGAACACAGTCACACAAACAACTTATTGATAAACACTCTACAATAAAACAGACATAAATGTGACTGGTCAACACAAATATAAAACTGTTACCTGTAAGTAAGCATTGAGGTCTTTTTTTCTCTTCTCCAAGAAGTCTCTGTCCATATTATTGAAGGTCTTTTTTCCTGGCAGCTTGAGGATTGATGCCAGGTTCTCAAACTAAAACAGAATATGCACAACACTCAAAAGAAGACAAACAAGTGTAGGTGTTGTTGCTTCATGTTTCAACACTAATGTTCACTTTTTTCTAGGGCAGAAAAATTGGGGACTTCTGTTAACTGGTATACAAACATCCTCTCTCACATACACACCTGCTCAGTGACTCTCATATGGAAGTCGTGGAAGTCCGAATAGCGGCGGTAGGTTTTCCAGCAATCCTCGCTGCCGTCCTGGTTGCGTCTGAACACAGTGATGGCATACAGCGCGTAGGTCTTGCCGTGGTCATTGCAAACACCTGCAGCACCCCACAATTCAGGGAAACAAGCATCAGCTACGCCGTCCGGCAACACATCCAAAGGGGGGAAATGGAGGAGGAGGGAGGTGGACAACAGGAGAAAGAAGAAGGGAAAAGAAAGTATATGCATGTACAGAGCATAGGGGAGGAAGAGGAAGCAACAGAATGATGAGCAGACGGTGTGGAAATGTGATAGGAGGGAGGTAAATGTGACAGAATGACAGCAAAAGCATGGGAGGGAGGAGGAAGGAAAAATGAAGAACAGAAAAACAATGGAGGTTATGGAATGAAGGAAAAAGAATATGAAAGTAACAGCAGGCACATGCAGAAGAATGACGCTAGGAGGTGAAAAGTTGAAAGAAGGGAGGGTGTACTCCAAAGAAGTAGGGGCTACTCCATATAAAGGACAAATTCATTTACTCTTCAACATGAGCTGTAAATCCCACACCTAGTCAGTGGAAATGTTTGTAATCCAAACAGTTGTCTGAATCTTTCCTTAAATTTTAAACCCTTAACCAAAGACTAACACTTGTGAAAATATAACAATCATCACACAATAATGGTACCAATAATGTTCACAAGACGTGTACTTGGACTGTGTGTACCTGTGTCAGAGATGAAGGCATGTAGGTGCATAGGTTCATCGTGGCACGAGCTGGATAGGTCATCCAAAGACTGAAATCACAAGGAACGAGTCATCATAAGCTAAACAATAAGAACATGAACAGCAAACACAGCGCCAGATGTGTCTCCACACTGACATCGTTCTAGGGCCTGCAAGAGGAACTGAAGGAGACTTACTAGGTTTAGGCTTCCTGTAGGAGAGCCATTAAATGATTCTACGTCACCATCCTCAGATCCCCGGTAGCTCGGCTCTTTCAACATGTCCAGCTCTGCTAACATGCGAACATAGAGAGGACTCTGCTTGAAAGAGGGGTAGTAGCGCTCATCCCGTAGCATCATGTTGTACACCTGTGGAACAGAACATTCAAAAAAGAACAAGGAAATACACCATAAAATGGGTGCAAAAACAAAGCTAGGTATTAAAGTGAAATAAAATTTCTCAAAGTATCAGCATAGTTCATAATATAGGTTCCATACTTTTCTCTGCACTTCATCAAATATCTCTGGTGTGGGATCATCTTTCTGCAGCTTCTCCCCCAGTTTTGTTACTGATGCCTCGTCCACCTGTACACTGGGAGACGCCTGTTGCGGATGAAAAGAGAGCAGACAGACACTGGTAAATACTTTCTCAATATATTAGATGACACAGGCTTTATAAAAAAGTCAGTCCTTTAAAGGAACTTTATTTGTATGTATTTTACCAAGAAATTAGAGGACACCTGTACAACTGGATCTTCTGAAAGACCACAACATTTCATTTAGTGTAAATCTCCGTTATGGCTGAAATGACCCCTGACTTGATGACACCCCACGTGGTCTAAACACAGCTCCTACCTTGTCAGAGAGGTACTGTTCGTAGATCCCCAGGGCAGCGGCCTTCAGCAGGCCTTTGGTGGTGCTGGGCTGCTTCTTACCGTCTTTCTGCCAGCCCTGCATGGCCTTCAGCTGCTGCTGTGCAGTCACCCTGTAGCCCTCCACGGTGAGCCAGAAAAACAGCTCTGCCTGAGCCCCGGCTGCCAGCATGAAGTCTGGATCGGCAGATACACAACAGTTGGAACAAGTCATGTGTGTATATTGTTGCCATTTCTGGTTAAACAAATATATGACACAAACATCGCTTGAATGGCGAAATGTAATTTTTTTTTTTTTTTTACTGTGTGCAGTTTTCAACTTTGGAATTTTGGTGATCTAAATTCATTTTAATAGAAAATAGATCTTTGAAATTTTTCTGCAGCATAAATGCTACAATAACAGCACCACAGCGTTTTGGCTGTTGGCTGGTGCTTATTTTTCACACCAGATCTGAAGCAACCTGGTTGGACTCTTAGTGTGTGCACACACACCATCCATTGTAATCTGATCTATAGACTGGAGAGACCTTTTAAAATCTCTAAAATGCCTAACAAGACAGGATGAAGTTATAATTTGCTGTTACGGATTATAATGATAATTAACGATGATGAAATGTTCAGGATTAAAGCCGTGGGATGCTACGGTGATGGTTGACACCCATGGTATATGTTATGATGTGATTCCAATATTACCCATGAAGAACTGCAGCGCTATGTTGTGCACAAGGATGTGATCCAGTGGGATAACACACAGCTTGCCCAAGTTAGCTGCCAGCTTTAAGGCATCCACCTCCTACACAACACAAGAACTGGATAAGAAACGGCTGGTACACAGAGCAGAAATGATAAAACTGTTTTCTCAGCCTTGCTTACTCTGACAGATAAAACTTTACTAATAAACTGACACTGAGGAAACACAGCTGATACTTGTGCATACAAAGTTTGACTCTACACTAACAAATATAAACCAGCAACTATCAAAACTGATTGGACCAAATTCCTTTCAGTAATGTACTGTATGTTTTCATTGGATCCTTTAAGCACTTTAAGTCTGCACTGCAGTTTCTCACCTTGCCAGACTGTAGCCTCTGGATCCTGGTCTCACACACCTTCTTCACAAACATAAGACTGTTAATCTGGTTCTTGATCACATTGATGTCTAAAGGACAAATGACATTAGGATCAGAGAGGAATGCCCTGCATCACTTCAGCCAAACTTTACACATCCTTTGTGCCTCCCTAATCAAGTGGCTAATTAGTTTTGTGTGTCTTTCAGTGAGGGAAATAAATAAATGAGTTCCCACCATCTCCGGCAGTGTCGAGGGAGCGGAGGTACTGCAGCTCCTCCAGCACCTTGTCTTTGACGGCCTCCAGCTCAGTAGGCTTGTCCGTCAACTTCAGGATGTTCATGAAGGCTTCATAGTTACAGCTGGAGTCCCTAATCTACATACACACATCCCGATTTATAGTCAACAACACATACCAGTGCAAATGCTGCTTCTGTCCTATTTCATTTGCTTTCTGGATTGTTTCTTCAATGGCTTTAGAATTATTTACACAAAAAAAGAGCCAACAGATAGAAGGTATAGATAGATGTGGGTGTCAAATCTCACCATCCAGATAACAAACTGGTTGATATAGTCTGGGTCGCTCAGCTGGTTGATCAGAGGAAGCAGCACACCGCGTGCCAGCACCTCCTAAAAAATACATCACAATGCAGCTCAAGGCACACTCATGATTCACACTGTGGTATAGCAATGCAGACAACTGAGAAGCCTGCTGTTAAAAATGATACTCTAGCAGAGGCCTAACTGGCAGCATCTGGCCGGTGGCTTAACCATGAAACAGGTTGTATGACATACTACATGACAGAAAATTGGACTGATATTTACATCTTGGTGAGTGCAGGTAGGTTGGAGTGGGTGGAGAAAGGTGTCAGGAGTGTTGTGTGACAGAAGAGTGGCAGCAAGAATCAAAGGAAAGGTGTACAAGACAGTAGTGAGACCAGCTATGCTGTATGGGTTAGAGACTGTAGCAGTGAGGAAAAGACAAGAGGCAGAGATGGAGGTAGCAGAGATGAGGATGTTGAGATTCTCTTTAGGAGGGACCAGGATGGACAGGATTAGGAATGAGCACATCAGAAGGACAGCTCAGGTCGGCTGTTTTGGGGACAAGGTCAGAGAGGCCAGATTGAGATGGTTTGGACATGTGCAGAGGAGGCACAGTGGTTATACTGGTAGAAGGATGTTGGAGATGGAGCTGCCAGGCAAGAGGTCAAGAGGAAGGCCAAAGAGGAGATATATGGATGTGCTAAAAGAGGACATGAAGCTAATTGGGGTGAGAGTAGAGGATGCTGAGGATAGAGTTAGGTGGAAACAGATGATTCGCTGTGGCGACCCCTAACGGGAACAGCCGAAAGAAGAAGAAGAATTACATCTTGGATCAAAGAAATTGCATGTGTTGTGACTGTCCAAGTGAGAGTGAGATTTTGTGTTTATCTCACAAACACTCACCCTTAGGAAGTATCGCATGTTTTTGTTGTGGAAATCTCCAGAAGGTAGCAATAGATACAGAAGCAGCTCGCACAAGTCCCGAAGAAAACCTGGACACGCACACAAACACGGCTTATGATTTGTTTTTACTCACAATAACATCAAACACCACAATACATTCATGGGTAGAGTACAACAACGGAGATTTCAAATGCATGTTTACCTTCTTCGTCTTTGCGTGAAGTGCACACCACGTCTCGACAAATCTTCCTTTCCATCTCCACCTCGGCCTCAAAGAACGAGTCTATCATCTCCTCTGTTATGTCCCCTTTTCAAATACAACTCGTCATTAACGCTGCTAAACTCTACAAAAATATTTTTTTCTGTGCCACAATTTCAACGGAAATTCATAGTACTGCGTAATCAAAAGACCACCAAACTCAGAATTACATAATCACAATTATTGCTTAAGGCAAAGTGAATAGAAAAGACTAATGACTACTGTAATAGAGAAAGCAAGGGTGTATGAATGTGTATGCATACCCTGCTTGTCCTCTCTGTCGGTGAGACGATCCTGGGCTTTTCTAAAAACACGTAAATGGGTGGCAAAGTCGTCCACCAGGCGAGTGGTAAAGTAAGGCTGCCAGTCCACGTCTTTGGACCTTGGCACACAAACCGACAAAAAAGCTGACATGTAAAAAAAAAAAAAAAATGTATACGGAAATACAGAACACATTTGTCTTGTAGAAAACTAAATATCAAGGCAGGAAATCATTGCTGTATATAATTCAAAGTGTGTATTAGTCTTGTACCGTGTGGAGAACTGGACCAGGGCATTCTGCAGTGTCTGTCTGATCTCCAATAAAAAGGACTCATCGTCGCTCAGAGTGTAGTACCAATATTGGATGTAGTCTCTCAGAGCAAACTGGATCACCTACAAAGAAACATGGAGGAAGAAGGGAGAGAATGAGAATGAAAAGCAAAGAGAAATTTAAAAAAAGACAACCCTAATGAACTGGAGTGAGGCAGATGTAAAGCAGAGATGTGAACATGTGACTCAATCAACTGTCTCTACATGCAGAGAGAATATTTTGTCAATAAAGCTTTTATCTGAGTAGATGAGAAACAAAAGGTGAACAGGCTGAACAGGACCACCTCTTTCTTTTGAAGAGAACAATGTAGGTCTGCATGAGGTCACATTCAGCTGTGTGAGAAGTCACAGTTCACGTGCTGCTGAAATGATTAGTAAGCACTCCCAGGGAGAAAGGGAGAACAGAGACACCAGTCAGTCACTGTCACCTGACCATCACAAACTGTTGTGTCTGCATTTCCCTCCGCCGGCCATGCCGCTTTACTGGAGCAACATGCTAAAAGCTACTCTAACTGTTGTAACCACAGGACAGACAGCAAAGACAACCTGTGACCACCAGACAAAGCCACAAAGCTCAGTGCTGACAGGCAACCTTACCATCATTTACAGGATGTATTTGCAAATATGTAAAGCTGACTCAATGACATGTAGCAGTGAATGATAATATACTAGTCTTTTTTTCTGCACATGATGGTCCAGCACTGACACACTTTAACAGTACAGAAACTTTCAGTTCCACTTTCAGTCAGGACAAGTTTATTTTTTCTGGACATGTCTGATAAGATTTCAGAAGGGCACATAAGTACAGCATTATCTGCACACACGACTGAACTAATCTAATATTCTTTTGTAAATAAAAATAAAAAAACTGATTTGAACCCCTTTACACAAGTCATTGTGTGGTGAGTACAAAAATAAGAAGCTGGCTCAATGCAAAATAATAATGTGTGAAGATGATGTGCCAGTGAACTGACAAATATTGGAGCAGATGTTGAGATTAATTCTCTACAGAGTCAAGAACAAAAAGGCCTGAGTAAATATAAAAGCAAATGACATCTTGCACCAGACTAAGCTAATGATACACAAACTTCCTGTGACAAAGAGGCATTGAGGCTTTACAAGGTAATGCAGGGTTTGACAGGGATAGTTTCTTTATAGCTTGAGGCCATTAAGTTGCTGTCTTTGCCAAATGATGGGCCAGACAGAGACTAAAGAGGGTTAGAGTCCAAGAAGACTGGAGTGTTAGGAGTTGTCATCCATTCGTAGTCCTGTTATCTTTTCTTAGCTTCTCTCCTTAGCAGTGGCCCCATTATCATCTCTGCACTGCTCTTAATGCACAATCAGATCACTTCCTAGATGAAGTGCACAATTCAAGGCACTGGGAAAGGCTTTCTTTTACTGTCAATCTTGTACACTTCATAACATTTGTTCTTCAGTTCATTCTTAATACAGTAAACTCAAATTACCAACATTCAGTTTGAGGCATGAAAAACTGCAAGGAATGTATGAAAATCATTTATTCCTCCTCCTATTTCATGTTATGAAACTTTATAATTCTGTCTACCCACTTTGACAGTTAAAGGTGCATGACAGCATGAAGCCTTGACGTAGGTGTCAAATGCACAGAGAGTCATGATGCATGACACATGCACACACCTGTTGTAGTGGTTCATCTATGAAACTGGAGCCAGTCAGTCTCCTGTCAATCTTCACTGGTTTAATCTCCAGCTTCATCTCATCCAAAGTCTGAAAGGGAAATGCAGTGAAACATGAGCAATCACATCAGTGAAGCATGGCCTGCATGCTAACTGGCAGTTTGTCTTCATAAACAAAAGGACATCTATTAACAACTAATTTGTTTGTGTAGGCGAGGTCAAAGTGTGTGTGAAAGTGTAGTTTACCTTTAGTATACCAATTTGTGTGGGTGGCAAATAAGAGTGCTCGCACTTTTCCAGGTGTTTCTCGGAGTTGATCTTTCCATAGAGCAGAGTAACCGCAAAGCCTCTGGAAAACAGAAGTGAGAATGAGAGAACAGGCTCCTGTGCTGTGTTGCTGTTAAGGTGAAAGAGCAGGCCTAAAAACAGCCATGATTTGTGGTTAAAAAGGTGATTACGCTCACCCTCCAATGAAGCAGAAGATATAAAAGGCCAGGTAGCATATGGCAAAGGGTCCAAAGGTGACGAGGAACAGCACAACTCCAAGACCCCCCCATCCCCAGATGGACAGACTGGCCTGAGACACAAACATAAAATACAGGTTTAAGTTATCATGCACTACCGTTTACACTGTATTCACCATGGCCTGGCTGCCTTCTTTGCCAATATGTGTCCATGTGAATTAGTAGGAAGTCAGTTCCGCAGAGAAAAGCTTCATCTTTAATCAAGGCAAGGCAAGTTTATTTGCATGGCACATTTTCATACACAACAGCAATTCAAAGTGCTTAACACAACTTCAGGATAAGACATTAAACATAGATGGATAAAACATTAAAATGCATACAAAATGCACAAAGAAAGATAAAAACATTTAAATGCATATATAGATAAAACAGATTGCAAATTTGTACATTACAGGCTACATTTTATTTTAATTTATTTGCCTAATTTAAGAGAGGCGGTCACTCTGAGATTCCGTATACATATAAGATTCCATGCTGGTCAAATTTACATGTATGATGGTCCATGTCACACACACAGTGGCACAGACTTATAACAGACTACATAAGACAATTAGACAATTGTACTGAATGATGACATCATCCACAAAGCTAAAAAAAAAACACTTTTCTAAACATTGGCCAGGAAAAGATTATTTCTAAAGATACTCAGCGTGGTGTGGTGTGTCATTACAGTATCAGACAAAAACTGAGTATGTCACATCCTATGGTTTTCCTGTTATTGTCAGTGCAGGAAACCAAGCTCTCATTCCAGCTAGCAACTTCTTAAGTTTCCACATAAGTTCCTCTAACAGCTCTATTTTTTTTTTGTTTGGTCACATATTATACCAGTGCTACAGATGCAATTATAAAACAACACAAAACATAACGGATAACTTGAGCAGCCAATACATGCATCTAGGAAGACCACAGCTACTGTCATTG